TAAAATTGTTTCAACTCGAATTCTGCCAAAATCAGATAAAATTTTTTGGATATTCTTAATGAATGAAAAAGCTTTAAAATTGTTTATATTGAAATGTAATATTGCAAATAAATTTCCCATCTTTTTTATTTGAAAATATTTTCCGTGAATGCTTTTCTATAAAATTTATTCTATCATCACATAATTTTCTTAAATTTCTTGTAGAATATCGGAAAAGATAAAAATTGTTTTTATTTATTAGAATTAGAGAAATAAAAACTATAATTTATTTTTCTCCACTAACTAAATATTCATCTCAGAACTTTAATTTTAATTTAGTAACCAACCGAATTAACTGCTGAAAGCACATAACCACGCATTAAGTGAAAAGCAGCTAAACCAAATAAAAAAAAGCATGGACCACACTTTCTGGCCACGGGCTGCGGCTGCAATTTTTTACTACTGTTTTTTTGGTCTTCAATCGAATATTTTCTATCGATTTGCATCAGAAGTTTTAGCGCAGTTGTTGAGAGGCGAATGTTCGCTACTAAGAGGGATTTTGAGGTCAAAGGTGAACGGTGTTATTAATAATTTTATTTTTGTCAGTGATTCTCTTTATTACTGGCAGTAAATGCTAATAATAATTTTTAAAATTAAAATTTTATTTTCTAAATCTAATTTATTTGTTTTCGGCTTTTATCTTCGCTATTTTTCAATTTATTTTCTTTCTCTTCGAAATTTTCATTTCATTTAAGTTTTAAATATCTTTTATTATTTGTGATGTTTAAATATGCATTTTTTAATATTTTTGCATTTTCCGAAAAGAAAACCGAATTTCTCGTTGAAAAAATCGTTGATATTTTATTGGTGGAATTCTTTTAGAGCAGTTATTAAGTTAACAAATGTTTGTTTGTTAACGATAACTTACAAAAGCTCATTTTATTAGGTACAATAAAAAGAAATGCAAAGCCTTGCAAAAATTGAATTAAAACTATTGAAATTAAAATATAGAATTACAGTGAAAAAAATAAGAGTTTAAAAAGCTCGAAGAAGCAAAGATTCGCAAAGTGGCAAAATCGCAGAAACCTTCCTTTTATGAAATATTATTGCAGCGAATAATTTCGATACAACGATATTGAAAAACGTTTTTTACGAATATGTTTAATCAAAGTGTGAAGATAGTCGACAGAGAAGATTTTTTATTGCTAAAATTCTGTTGAAAATTGGCCATTAAGAATCGAGAAAAATGAATTTAGTGGTTGTCGTTGACAGTAGGCGACTAGTTTTCGCTTTTGCGCAATAAACTATTTTGTTCGGAATTGTTTTATTCCTTTAATTTTAGATAATGAATGGTTGGATGCGACCAGAAGGAGAAACATTGCGATTATTAACGCAGACAATAGATGATTTTCGAATTGCATTCAATCGTACATGTGTACATTTAGAAGCTTGGCAAATTGTTTCTTATACATTGTCCATTGCTTTTCTCTCTTTATGGTTAAAACGGCAGTTTAAGGATGATCGACCAATTATTGACCGTTTAAGAACACTGGTCTGTTTTATTGCTTTTCTATATCGGATATTTTTATTATTGTGCATGGAAGGCTTTATGAAATTAATTAATTTCAGATCTGCGTTTTATAATATGAATCTCGATCTTAATATTTTAGAATTAGCTTAATCTTCTTCTAATAGCTCTTTCCATTATTGGTTAACCTGGTTCCGCTGGCTATAAGGGTTAGGCGTCTCCGAGCTGTTCGATCCGACGTTTATCATCGACAGTAATAGAAATATAGGTAATAGAAACCATTCATTTTTTCATCGTTTTAGCCCATATATCGCTGGTTCAAAATCTTTTCTATGTCCAGGTCTTGATTGGTCCGCCTCGCTTTTGATGCCACCTATCACAAGGTTTAGCAAGTAACGAAGTAGGTGTCAACTCTAGTGGTGGGCGACGAAGAACGTGTTTTATCCAGCGAAGGCGATACTCTGTGATAGTGCAGGTGGTATTTGAGTGAAGATTGATGCAATCATATGAGATTTTTGTCAGCTCGGCTGATTCGTAAGATGTATCTTGGAGATGAGTAATCAAAGGCAGATAGCTTCTTAATATCCTCCGCTTTCATTTGCTATATCTCGCAACAGATAGCAAGATAGCAATAGCAAGATCGAATATAAATGTAGCTATATAAATGCGAATAAATGCGAATTTTCATTTTTATGGTGATTTCGTGACGGCTTCATAAACGCTTTGTGAACCGCAAGGGCGCCGTTCTAATTAGCGTTGTCAGATTGTAATTTCCTTTTTTTTTTGCCTGGCCATTAGCATTTAGTGGATCCAAGGTATTTTAAGTTGGGCATTCTCTCAGCCGGCAATGAATTGATAAAAAATAATTAAGACGAAAATAAAATATTTTTATATACATTGATCCTGAGTCCAATTTTCGTTGCAGATGTCGACTCATTATTTAGCATTATTTTATTTTCATTTTTTCATAATGTTCAGCAAAAAAACTGCATTATCAGTATATTCAAGATCTGTGATATTATGCTATGGATTTATCTATATATTTCTTGAGTGTTGGCAAGTGATATCCATTATCTAGGTTATCGCATAGTTGAATATTGTAGGGAAAAGCACGCCTTGACGGACACCATTTCTTATTTCGAAGGACTCTATCGCTGAAATGCCTTTATAAGTCTGGAACATCGTCATATTCCATCATTTCAAAGTTCTCCTCTATCGATTGAATCGATGACAAAATCGATGAAACTAATCGATGGGTTGCTAATATTTGAAGCGATTTTTCATTACTCTTCTTAGCATGAAAATCTGGTCAGTACAATCGCGTCCCGGTCTGAATCCAGCTTACTTAAGGCGCATTCTGCTGTTTAATATTGCCATGAGTTTATTTAACAGGAGGAAAGTGAAAATTTTTTCGAAGATATCTAATAGGCTGATTCTTCAGTGATTGTTACAGTATGTTCTATCACCTTTCTTAGGAATTGGAAGCAAAATGGCTTTGCGCCAGTCATCTGGTATTATTCCTTTTCGCAATACTAGAGAGTATATTTGTTGAAGATATGATGGACAATAGGCAACATATGAAGAGTTCAGCTGGATGATCATCTTCTTCAGAAGTTTATTAAGTTTATTGGTTTTAAGCTTTATAAATAAATATATATATATATATTGTTTCCTCTTTTCTTGGCTGTTCGGAAATGGAAACATATGGCTTGACGAGTGAGTCAGCCATATCTGGGTAGTCAGCTATACCTCATGCTTAAGTCTGGCTTCAAGAAATTCTTTCCACCTTATGAGGCGATCTTTAATAGCCTCAGTTCATCATTGCTGCCCAGTGTTATTTCTCTGACTGTTCTCCGAATTGTGGTTGCTTTATGAAGGCAAAATGATTTCCTGTTATCACCTATTCTCAAGATCACATCACTCCAATAGCGGTTTCTATCTCGCACCACTGCTGTCATTATAATTTTTCTAATGATAGTCAGGGTCTCCTAACATACTTTGGCAACGTTCTTGGACAGTTAGGCTGTTGTTTCCGATACCCAACTAGCTCATTTCCTAGCATATCCTAATATGGAAATGACTGATTTTCGCATGTCTTTAGTTGTCTCCAGTATTCATCTGCTCTTCCAGAGATGTCACTTCATTGAGTTGCTTCAATAATTCAGTTTGAATTGTCACCAAATCTTTTTAAAATACCTGAAAAATCTTGAGATATTCTTTCTTGCAAGTTGTCAGTTTTATGCGAATCTTGGCTCAAACCGTAACCTGGTCTTTAGCGCTCTAATAGGAACGACTGTATAGTATAGAATTTTTTCAACGGACTGATTAAGATTTAATCAATCTGGTCGGAGTATTGGTTATCCATAGAGTTCCACATGGCTAAATGTTTTCTCCGATGCCGGAAGCATGTATCAGTAAAGAGCTCATGCTGGTAAGGCCAAGAAGGCGTTCTCCATTGGCGCTCTGGATTCCGATGCCATATTTACCATTTACTGAATTCATCATGGCGAACATCGTGACCAAAACGCGCATTCCAGTCTCCCGATTATAACCATTCATTAGAGATTATATTAGCAGTTGAAGTAGAACTTATTACGGTCATCTACAGACAAAGTTGGAGCATATATATTAACATAGAGACATTGCAGAACTTGTAGATATTGCAGAACTTACCTTTAAAAGGGGCATGGGCCATACTGTCGCTTACCGATTTCCGCTCAATCAAAGAGAAATGGGCCTTATCAAAGATGACAATCGCTATGCCATTTCGCTCCGAGTTATGAGACACCACAGTAATATAGCTACTATCTCTTCTGGCAGTCAAGTTTAATAATTGCTCGAGATGCGGCGTGAGGAAGACGGACTTCTGATAAACAGGCCACATTTACGCAGTATTTAGGAAAGGGGGTGGGCGGTGACCGTTTGACTTGCAACGTCTATAAGCGTTCTAACATTGTGGCCAACATCTCGTCGCTTTTATACAATATTCTAATTCGTTCATTTTCCTCGACAGATTTTGAGTAATTATTCTGGCTCACCAGCACACACTATTCTCAAGCCTTGAGGTTTTACGTTTTATTACGTCCTATTCTTTATTTATCGCATGTACTACTGGATTGGAAATATCATATGCATTGGAAGATGCGGATGCAGTGTAAAAAGATCTGACCCTTTTACCACAGAGTATAGGGTCACGGATGGACCCCAGCAACCACCGGATTCTTGATACCATGGCAGATACATTTATTCTTATCAAAAAGAAATAAAAGAAATAATTATATGTTAAGGGAATATAAGAGAATTGAAAGACTTTTAAGACTTCTAAGAAAAAAGAGAAAAAAACTCATATTAAAAAAAAGAAAAATCATCAGTTAGCGTTCGAAAAATGGAAATTTTTTTTATTTTCATTTTATTTATTGCAATAGTGAATTTAAAATATAAATTTTGAAATTGAAATGTGTTAAAAGTAAGTACGAATGAATATTAATTGAAGATGTTCTCCGGTTTGAGGTGCATACCGTGGGTGAAGTTGCAGATTTGTAAAAAGATGGAAAATGTAAGAATGGATTTTGAAGAAAATATTCATCAATATGACAAAAAAAAGGTATTTTAATATATTTTTTATGAGAAATTAAAGAATATGCGAATTAAAGATGTAGTTAATGGATTACGACCGCGACTGGCACCATTCATTATTCTAATATCTTTATGACGGCAATAAATAGCATGATTGTATGGTTAAGTGATAGATTGTCTTTTATATGGTTAAGTGATAAATTGTCTATTAAAAATTGCAAAGATTCATATTGCGAAGTTTAAAATTGCTTATAACTTCAGATCTTAATTTACTGGTTAAAAATAATATTAATTTCGATAATAGAGATTTAGTCAAAAAATCATCTAAAATTTTACAATATTTGATTTTAAAAATAAATTCTTATCGATGTTCTCATTTTTCTTTTCATTTTCATACAGGATACATTATAGCCTGTTCTTCAAGATTTAGTAATTTCAGTAAAATTAATGAGAAAACATTCTTGATTTTTTTAAAATCATATCCCATTACAACATTTATTGAAACATATAAGAAATTCGAGTCTGTGACTCAGTAGAAGCACGATCATGAAGATTGATTATTTTCATTTATATTGTGCTAAATTTTTTGCCATCTTTTGAATAATGCTAGAGATAATGGATTGAAAATGTGGGAAACAAATAGACCAAATTAATGATAATTAATAACTTTTATATATGGATAATTACCGACTGATGTTATTTCTACATCATCAGTATCTATTTTTAAAAATACAAAATTTTAAAAATAAATTGAGTAGAACTGTGGAAAAAAGATGGGATAATTTATTTATTTATTGCTTTAATAAGTGCAACGAATAAAGCTAAAATGAAAATAAAATAGAACAAATGGAGAAAAGAAAGTAAAAAATAAATCCTCAACGCGATATAATCGAAGTATTTAGAAAAGTTAACTCAGATTCAAATTCGATCCTAACAACCCTATATCAAAGAACTTGAATAAGTTAAAAATAGAGAAAGGAAACTATTTAATATACTTTTAGATAACAATGTAATATCACAATACTCTATTTATCACAAAATTTCTTCGAGTCATTTCCGACAAGATATTTACTATGTTATTTAGCATAAATAGATCGTTAATCCATTTACACTTGTTTAATAGTTTCATTTTTTCATTATTATATTTATATTTATGTAAATTTTTAAATAACTTACGCAAATGCATGGCTTTCTTTCTTGATTTTCGAAAAAAGCACGAGATTTAATTTAATTTAAATTTAGTTTCTATTGAAATTTTCGAAATATGATCATAAATATGAAATATTACTTAATTTTCTGCTTTATTTCTTAGTTTATTTTTATAAAAATTTTTTTAATTTGTAATTCAGGAATTTTATAAATTTTTACCTGAAAATGGCTTAAAACCGGAAGATATCATTCGCGAAGCAGAACTTTATGAAGAAATGGGTGAATATTCTTTTTATAAGGGCAGAGCTTCTGGAGTAGTTTATGCAGATTACAATGAAGAACACAGAAGATTACTTCAAAAGGTTCGGCATCAATTTCAGTAAATAAATGTTTTTATTATTTTTATAATATTTCGTAATTATAAGTAATTATATAAAATTTTAAGCGAGCATTTACTAATTCATTTGAAATATTATTTCGATCAAAATTAACCATACTTTCTTAGATTTTTGACATTTGTGCTTATTCAAATGCTTCCTATCCTGAACTATTCCCTGGATGTCGAAAAATGGAAGCCGAAATTGTCCGCATCGCTTGCTCCTTGTATCATGGAGGTGTGGGGTCTTGTGGAACTGTCACGTCAGGTGGAACCGAAAGCATTATTCTCGCATGCTTAGGTGGCTTTCGAATGTCCTAAATATTGTCTTTTGTACTGATCCTTATTATCTTATTATTATTATCTTAAATGAATGCTTCAATTTTTTGATTAAAAAATCTTTTTATTACTGGTTTTGTTTTTAGCATATCGTAATCGAGCATATTCCTGCGGAATTCATCGGCCAGAAATTGTTATTCCTGTCACTGCTCATGCTGCATATGATAAAGCTGCGCAATTACTGCAAATGCGCATTCGCCATGTTGCCGTAGACAAAAACCAAAGAGTAGATATAGGAGCTATGAAACGTGCGATCAACAGAGAGACTTGCATGGTAAATACCTGAAGTTTTGGGGATTTTTTATGATTCTCTAACGAAGTTTGAATAAAGATTAAATAAATTTTCTTATGTTTTTTTTTTAAGAGCCCTCAGAATTAGACTCGGCTTGCAGCACTAGACAAATATGCTAGGGAGTCCTCTGTCGACAGAGGTGCAAGTAGGTCGCCAGAATCACCCTGATTTTTACACAGGTTTTGGACAGGTTTTGCTCATACTGGGAGTAGAAACTCAGCGTATATTTTCTTAAATAGACTTAACCTACTAGCTGTTTTTTTTCTAATATAGGTTTTTATGTTTTCGATTTGCAACTTTTTGAAATTTATAAGATTTAGCTTGTGGCATCTGCTCCAAATTTCGCTACAGGTACAGTGGATAATATCGAAGCGATTTCCGAAGTTTGTGTATCCAGATTTGTGGTTTTTTAATCTTTGTTTTTAACCTGTAGGAACGAAAAATAAAAAATCTTTTATAGTTATTATTTCAGCATTTCATTTTAGTAGTTTCTTTATTTCAGAACTAATTTCTGAAAATCACAGTTTATTTTTATTGGTATATTTAGCTCAGTCAACGTTATGGTGTGCCTCTTCATGTAGATGCTTGTTTTGGTGGTTTTATTTTGCCATTTATGGAATTTTGCGATTATCCTGTTCCACCTTTTGATTTTCGAGTTCCAGCGGTCACTTCAATCTCTTGTGATACAAGCAAATATGGTTTTTCACCGAAAGGTGATTTCTACCATATATATTTGCATTTTATATTTTCAATTTGTTTTTTACTGTTTTCTTTAAAATATATTTAAGGTGCATCACTGATTTTGTATCGAGAGATCAATTTCCTTCACTATCAGTATTTTTGCTACAGTGATTGGCCCGGTGGAATATATGCTACACCAACATTGGAAGGCTCACGCAATGGTTGTGGAATAGCTTTAACTTGGGCAACATTGCTTTATTATGGTCGTCATAAGTAAGATAATCCGTTTTTATAAATAAAAATATACCAAGATTCAAGCAAAAATACAGATAAATTCAGATACACGGAATTAACACATTCAATAATTGAGGCAACTTTTGCTGTCAGAAAAGGTATTGAAGAAATAGGACATTTTAAATTGGTTGGAGATTCAGATACTACTATCATTGCATTTACGAGTGAAGCCTTCAACATTTATGCATTATCAGATCGTATGTGTAAACATGGATGGCATTTGACCAACATTCAACGACCTGCTGCGTAAGCGATTATCACTAAATAAAAATGCATAATTTAAGATTTATTGATTTATTTCTAACATATAAATAACTTGAAGCGAAATTTATTTAATAGATTTCTAAATGATTTAATTCTAATATATCGTATTTTTTGCAACACTGCAGTGATTTTTGCCCAGTTTTGTAATTTTTTCTACAGAACAGATTATGGAATGGTCTTTTATTGCAGAGTTCATATTTGCATAACATTAAATCATACTAAACCTGGTGTGATCGATGAGTTTTTGAGAGATTTAGCCGTTTCTGCCGAAGAATTAATTAATAACCCTGAACTTAGTCAAGAATCACGTACTGCAGCTATTTACGGTACACATTTAGCGCTCATTTTGTTTCTATAATTGAAATTAGCCAGTAGTCTTTTGAGATTTTGATTTTATTCAGAATTCTAGTTATTATTAAATAATTGTGTATAGCATAATCTAATTTATATTCGTTTCATTTTTATTTCATTTTCCAATAATTGATATATAATTAACAATTTTATATCTTTAGAAATTATTCACTTTTTATTTATGTTCTGTAACCAGTATAACCAGTTTTAAATGGTTTTTTTGCAGAGATGGCTTCAACTACTCCTGATAAGTCTCTGATTGAGGAAGTATCGCGTTTATATCTTGATTGTTGTTATGCGATTCCGCAACCTGCTATATATAATCGAACACTGAGTGTTGAAGGTCGTAAAATGAGTATGATGGGCATTCATCCAACGATTAGTAATAGTCATTTTCCTACCTTGCTTTCCTAATTGTAACCAGTTTTTTCCCTTGGATCGAGATTTTTGTTTATTTAATTTTTGATTCTGGTAGGTTTTATGTTTTAGATTTTAATGGCCAGTTTAATCTTTTTTTTGGTAAAATTCTATGTATTTTTAATATGAATGTAATTTAAAATTTTTTTTGTTTTATACCTGTAATACTTCCTCTAAGTTTATTTGTGTTGTATTATTGCCAGTGATAATCAATTTTTCATTATCGATATCATTGTTTTTTCCCTTTAATTTTCTACAACAAAAGAAGTTTTTTTAGAATGTGTAAAGGTTCATTGATTTAAAATCGTTCATTTAGTTGGGAATTTACATCACTGTCAGATAGGATATTCCTAGTCCGAATATTCTCATAATTGATTAAATGCAAAATTGAAGTGACACGAAATGAGGATGTGTTATGAAGGCATAAAATTCATCCATTTGTATCATTTTTTTTATTTTATATTTTTGCATTTCGAATGTTCGAAGGTGAAGTTTGATTTGCATTATTCTTTTATTCGTTCTGTCAAAGAAATAAATTTTTTAGTTTCTTACATATCTCAGCACAAATTGCTTGAAAATGGTACAATAAAAATATTTTCTGCTAGTTGCATTCCTATTTTTATCTCTGTCCTTTTACTTGAGAGGGTCAGCGATGTCTTGGTTACATCACCAGGAGAATTATGGCTAGAAGTAGAGCTCCAGGCATCAATAGGATTTCACTTTTAAGTATAATTCTATTCAAGAAACTCGAATCGACATTAGATTTGTAGCGATTCCACATTATTCCAGGGGCTTGCCCATCATTTCACTTCAACTCTTTCATCGAATAGAAAATATTATATATTTTAAATTTAATGACAAGCTGATCAATTTTCAATTAGTGGCAAGCCGATCTTTGTAAAAAAAGTTCCCAAATATGTTGATTTGTCGTTAGTCTTCTAGTAGTCATAAAGATACGACATTCATTACTCATTAGCAAATTTTCTGAAATCGTAATACAATTTCGATAAATTTCAGTTGATAAAACGACAAAAATGTGTCGATGAATTTTGTTTTTTTTGGTGGCATTCTTTTTTCGATTGCTCTTATTTTATTATTTTTCTTTTGTTTATTTATTCACTGGAATATTTGCAGGTTAGTTCTTTGCTTATTATTTTGTTTAAATTGAAAAAATTTTTTTAATTTATTTCTTTATAAATTTATTAATTAATTTATTTTAATTTATTATTATTTCTTCTTTTTAAAAAGGGCAGTGAATCATAATAATAACGATAGTAAAAAACGAGAATATGCATTGAAACCCGTGAGAAATTCGTTTTTTTATTTTGTTAGTTGCACTTTCATTGGATAGGTGAAAATTTATTTTTGCAGAAAAGAATTACTGGCAATGAGATTTTGGAAATTGTTCTCGCCGAACTCTGTGAAATGTGCTAAGGAATGTTGGAGTAATGGCATCGGCATGCAAGAGCCAGTTCAAGAGGTCAAAAAGCATTCTTTTCATAATTTAAATACCAATTTGAAGTTTGGAATTGAAGTTTAGGTTGATGTGGAACGAATAATTTCTCGACGAGAAAGGAGATACGACGATAAGCGATTCAATGAATCAGATGAATATTTAAATCCGAAGCCAATCGAACACATCAGCAATGAAATTGCAACAGTTTTAGCCATTGACCAACTTCTTGATAATTCATTCCTCATTTCTGATCAAGAACTTGAATATTTTGTTCCATCAAATAATCAGAATCTTAAAATTATATCGGCTAACAGAGACCATGTTTAATTCATTTTCAAAAAATTCAGTTATTTATTTATAACAGAGATAATTTTATCTTTTATGTGTTATAAATATTATATTTATGAAAAAGATTTCCATAAAATCGTATAATAAAGTCGTGTTTTGCATTCATTTTGTTTGCAGATCACTTCTTTAATTTTTGCACGTAATATTCTCAAATATTTTCGCGTATTTAATTTAAATTCCTTAATTAATTAATGAAGATAGACATTGGGATTTTTTATTGGCTTTGAAGCCTACACTTAAGTAACATATGCAGGTAAAAGTCGATCGTAGAGTACATTCTACGCATTAAGGATCATTGTGAGATTAGAGGTAAAAGGTAAAGATATACTAAGTGCAGTTAGCTCTGTGGAACTGCTTTATAGGCACTTTTTCGATATTGTCAGCATGTGGAAGATTCATGCGTAGAGTAGCAAGCAAAGAATTTCAATTGTTATATTATGAAAACTGAATGAAACGCGTATCATTCTTTTTTCGTACTGTAGAGGGAATTTCACAATTAACGATGGGTAGTTTTCTATGCAAAACTAATGTGGTCGAGTGGTGGAGTGGTACCATATTTCCATTAAAAAGTTGTGATTTCGATTCCCCAAACGGAGGTGAATCTGCCGTTAATATAAAAGTGGGAGAGATTCACTTTCATTCCTAACTTTAATTTAAAATTTAATTGTGAGATTTTCGTCAAAAATCTCACTTTAGTATTCAGTCCGAACGAAGTGTAAATGGGAAGTGTAATAATGGAGATAAAGCACATTGCGTTCACATTGCGTTCAGTCTCCATTAAGAAGTGCTAAGCTTTGTTGGTACTAGAATCGGAATCACATAATTTCCTAATGAACGGCGATAGTTCCGAAAAAAATACTTTCTCAATGAAATTTAAGAAAATGAGTATTGTAACAATAATAATTAATAATAATTATCAATAATAATTATCTCAGCTTTACAATTTCAAGTTTCGGTGGTTCTTTGAAAATTGATTTAAATTTGTCGTGAAATGGAGGAATTTAAGAAATTTTATAGCACGATGAACTCTGCTCATGTAATTTGTTAGTACCGATGATTATCAGCAAGAAAGTAAAAACCCGTGCAGCATTAGTTAAATTATTATTTCTAAGAGTCGCGTAATATCTAAAATTATTATGATTATATTTCGTTTGGTTTTATTTATTGGCCTATTTTTCATAGTTCAAACAGCTTCATGCAATTCAAGTTTGTCGGTCTTTTTAAATTCAAATTTAAATTCAAATTTATGAAATTCACACAATTTATTTTTCGAATTTAATTGGTTTAAATTGAATTTTTGCGACAAAATAGTCGAAATGTTGGCACCGATGAGAAATGCACATCACCGATTCATCCCTGTTCATTGATGGGAGTAAGCCTGTCATTAAATGTGAAATTCGAGTGATGCTCGAGATCCATTTGTACTTCCTCAAGTTGTCCAAGTACAGACAGTAAAGATAATTATCAGTCAGTATCAATGCAGCCAGCAGCCAGTAGAACCAACAAACTAGAGATGGAGAATGTTTTTCGAATAAAACTCTCAACTTTTTTGATGTCAATTTAAACATTATAAATATAGTGGAAAACAACAACAGGTGAATACTGCCCGCTTGGATGGCGAGTTAAACGAAGTTCCGAAGACGGTTCACCTTTACTATGTGATCCAATTAATCGCTCAAAAAAATGCCCAAAACCATACCTTTGCATCTCTTCTCAATGCAAATTAAATTTTTGTTGCGCTAGTCAAAGTAATTTTTACATTCTATCTTTCTCAAATTCCACTTTTACTCCTTATTTGAAATATATTTAAGCAACATAAGTCTCACAAAAATATTTTTTTCCAGAAATACTCGACAAACTAACCATTGAAAACGAATTTCTGGAAGAGGATTCGGATGCTGAGCTGTGAGAAAAATAGAGCCACTGTTTTATTTCTTATCTAAGGTTGATCAGCAAACTACCGCGATTCGGAAAGATTAATTCTGAATAAAAATCGAAAGATTTTCTTCATTTTTTCCTTTGAATTTTTATTGCTTCTTTTCATTAACTAAAATTTTCTTTATTATTCTTGTATTGTATTATATTAAAATATTCTTATCCTGTCTATTCGTTTATTATTATAAATATTATTTCAAAAATGAAATTAAATGCCATCATTTAAAACACATGTAAACTGAATTGTTGAGCTCAAATGTTTTGATAAATCTGAAAATTTAATCAAAAAAATTCTCACAAATAGATTTATTTTATTGCCGTATTTATTTATGGCGCACAAATAAAATAAAAGTTATAAATAAACGACAAATAAATGTTTAAATATCTAAAAGTAATTGAATCAAATAGAAGAAATAGAGAGGTGATAATTAACTTCATCACTGGGGACAGAATGGCCGAGTGGTTTCAAATATTTTTACATAACATTTCAATTGCATTGGTAAAAAATCCAGGTATTGCCTTGTACCTCTACCCCCAAGTGTCTTTCTGGTGAAATTATTTCGGCTTACCAAATAACCAGTGGAAAGAAAGAAAAAAAACAGAACCTTCTTCCTCTTATTTTCTTAATTCACATTTTGAATGAAGATAATTTTTTTGATAATTTTAGCTGATTTAGGTCGAAATGACTAAAAGATGGAAAACTTCTAAAAACATTCGTCTAGATTTTCAAAGCTTTCGCTCCGAGAATCTTTTGAACTCTCTTAAAAAGTACTGCCAAAGGGTTTTTTGTTTTTGTAGATTATAGTTGTACCTAATAGATATTTATCATCTTAGAAAGTAAAACCAACTTCTTAAAATTTATTCATTAAAATTATTTAAAGTTTTTTTAAAGAAAATAATGCAAAACTTGACTTGATATTTAGTTACTTGAAAACGCATTGGGGGCATTCTAATTACTCGGATTATCACTGATCTAAATAGAAAAATTACACGAAATAAAAGCAGAAAAATAACGAAAATTTGACTAAATTTACTTTTTACCTTTTAGGAAGATTTTGCTAAAATGAGAAACAAAATTTACTAATTTCAAGTAACTAAGTCCTTTTCTATAATGAATTTGAATGAATTCATTAACATTTATGAACAAAAAAAAGTGAACAAAAAATTTTCAATGTGACAATATTTCACTGAATTCGTTATTGCAGTTGCAAAAAGTAAATTTAGCATTTGGTTTAGTTCTACTACTAAAATACTTTCTGAAAGTCCTTAGAGGTAGTGCGAATTTATTTATACCACTATCCGCAAGTGACTTACCAACGAAACGAACGCACCCTAATAATCAGTTGAGCCAAACCAGATAAAGTGCATATACTTAGATAAGGAAGAAAAAATTATTAAAATTTAAATTTAGAAACTTTTAAGAACAACTGAGTAAGTGGAATTAAGACTAATGGATGAAAGAAAATAACAAGAATAACATTATCGATGAAAACAACGTTGATGAGGTGGCCTTATTGCAGTAATCGTGATTTTTACAAAAATACGATTCACCTGAAAACTGGAAATTTAATTCACCTTGTTTAATCCAAGATTAAATTAAATTAAACTGATAAAATTAAATGATAGATGTAATGATAAATGATATATGTAGAACTCATTTATTCTATTATTACTATCTACTATTCCACTCATGACAATATCAGAATTATGCTTGCATAAATTAAATTAAATGCAATAAGTAAAATTAATGGCAAAAAAGGGTTAATTAATAATAATTTATGATTAATTTTCATTTAAAATTAAATAATTTGTTATTTTAAAACAAAAATCGTTTAGATTACTGAAGCATTTAGTTTAACGTTTGGTTTATTCTAGAAATTCTTTTAATTTTTTCTTTTGTCTTTTTAATTTCTAAAATCAAAAGGTGTCAAAAGGTGGAAGATGATCAACCTGTGACTTTTTCGTCATTTACCCAGTACAATTTTACATCGAGAGTTCGCTTTTTCATACTTCCATCTTCTTGATCCTCATTCGTGCAGCCTTTCATTATAAGATTATGTTCTAAATATGAAATGTGAAAATTTTTTCCAGAATATAAAGCTTCACAAAGCCAAAAATCTTATTTAACAAATCTTTCCTTTCTCGATCCATTAAATAAATTACCATTTAATGAAATGCGCAACTCAAAAAATGCAAGTAAGCCATACGTATATCTATTAATTTAAAGCATGATCCACTGCAACAAACGGTGCCTGTTTCACAATTCTCCATATCCCTACCCATACAAGTATAACAGGCTTTCGAGCCATCTTTCTCTGTACAATTAATGGCTATTTCCGTACCTTCCATATGATCTAAAATAATTTATCAAATAATAAAATTAACTATAGATCGAAGAGCCTTAAATTGGTTTAAATTAAAATTATATATTATCATAAATATGCTTACAATACTGATCTATATTGACTGATCATAACACTTCTAAATTTATAAAAATCTGCCAAAAATAAAAATTTTAATCCCTAAAAATTGCAAGTTGACTAACCTATAAAAATGGAAGAAAGTAAGAAGATAATTGAGGAAATATGATAATACATTAAAAAAGTATCGAATCCTAAAAAAACATTTAATCTTTTGATTTAATCGTCAAACATTACATCAAATCAGTCTTATAACATTGAAATATTGTACATCAAAAATGTCGCAAGCAGAAACCAACAAAAATGGAAATTTTTTTAGTGCCTATTTTAGATCTTAAACAACCTCACCTATAAAACCCTTTCTCTAATAGCATTTAGCATTTCTGTTTCTCTGATTCGATTGCAAATTGGAGAGAAAACCTCTATCTGAATTGCCAACAACACTCGGATATCACTTTAATGACAAAAGTCGGGCAAAAAATAATCCCATAATCAAGCTCGAATTAAAATGGCCCGTCTGGCACCTTCTATTTGCCGCAGATTTGAATGGTGCAACGATAACCATCTCTTTTTTCAAAATTAATGATCCGTTCATATTGTGGTTTAACATTTTTCAGAAAATAACATATAGCTTATGTGGGTCGCAACCATGGCTGTTTGGATCGTAACCACCATAGTCATTTTGGCCGTAACCACTGTTATGAGGCCTATTTGTACAGAAAATGAATATTATAAGACCACTTCATTGGTTTAGATTCGAAATGCAAATCGCTATTCAAAAAATGTATAAAACGAATTAAACACATCTTCTTATCATAATAAATGATAAAATTGTTGGCAAATTGATATACTGCGTTGGTTTTTTTAAAAATAATAACAATAATAAAATAATAAACAATAAACAATAAACAACAAATAATAAATAACAAACAAAAATAATGGAATAATGGAATAAATAAAATAAATGAGAATTAATTAATGTGAATTAACAGTTTTCGAGATCGAAATTTATTAAATGGAATAGAAATTCACCATTAACAATTTAAGAGATAAATAAAAATGAAAGACATGGGGAAGGCCTAAAGAAATGTGCATATATCGATAAGAATGAGTTGGTTTCATCTCTTAGCAGAAGCAAAAGCGCTCGAGGCAAGAATGCATTACTCCCTTCAGCGATTCGCTTCATCGATAAGCACAACTAATTTTACATTTACACTTAAATTATTGAATGGAAATATGAACCGACTCGATTTTTCATTTCTTTTTTCTCACAATGATAGATTATAATTTATTCAATAATCACTTTTTAAACGAACAAATTTTTCTTTGGTTATAAAATTATAAAAAAATTATAAAATTAACGATTGTTCTTGAAAATTAATAAAGGGATAAAACTTGTAAAATACTGAAAATAAAAGAAACAATTGTAAATATGGGCCGAGCTTTCAAATTCGACTAAATAAGATAAGGGTAAATCTGTTAAATCTGCGATTGAAAAACGTGAATGATGTTAGTCGATCCATCTGTGCTTCTATCGTCGAGTGATTCCAGTTTCTAATCATAATGACAACTAAGCTAACCAAGCGAAGACGAAATTACAACCCGGATAACAGCATGCCGAAATGTGTTCTCCCGGTTGGCGAAACCTTCATGGAGATGTCTCAAAATCACTATAAAAACAAAGTCATCATCTGTATAGCTGCAATTTGCCAATCTTGCTATATAGCTGCAAGACGTGGCCAGTGAGAATGGAGGATATTAAAAAATTATCTACATTTGGCCATTTACATCTAAAATACACGGATTCGCCGAACAGACAAAATCTCACATAATTGCATCCATATTTAGATACCAAATGCATTAACAATACTACCATCGTCATTGTTAAAGGAACATTCTTCGTTGGCAATCAGAAAAGTTGATATTTTTTACTTGCTGAACCCTATAAATGGATAGCATCAAAAGCGAGGAAAGTCAATCAAAACTTGGACTGGAACAATTAGGAAAAATTTTGAACGTATACGTGGACTCAGAGATGGTAAAAAATGGCTTCTACTACTGCAATGACGTAGGATCGAACAGCTTGGAAACGGCTTATAGCAAGCGAAGCCTGCCTAATGAGCAATGATGAGAGCTCTTAAGAGAAGAAGAACGATCTGGCCAAACTAGAAATGATGAGCACTAACTGTAGTCGTCTATAAAAGTAAGATAAAAGAGGAGAAAAGCAAAAATAGCTCATTATACTATAGTTACAATTGTAAAATGTGATGGGGAAAAAATTTAAGAGAATTGCAAAGTTATATTGTCTTTTTGCAAAAAAGATGTTATTCTAGGAAAATTATTCAAGAAATTTAATAAATTATATTTTTTAAAGTAAAAATATCAATAATAAGGAAAATTTAGAAAAATTTAGGGAATTTTGAGTAGATGCGATGAAAAATTTCCTGCTTTCAAGTGATATGATTTCTAAGGAAAAATATTTATGCATGGAGCATAAACGCGAAAAAATTTCACGTTTCACATAATACTCCAGCAATAATACTTATAAGAGAAATTTAATTCTACTTGAAATGAAATTTTATTAAATATGAAGAAAAAATTAAAAACGATCACAATCGTAATTTTATTTAACAATTATAACAATTATAAATACGATAAAAAAATTCACCAATTATTGTGCAAAAACTATTGTTAGGAAGTTTTTTGCAAGAGGAAAACCTAAAATAGACATTATTAAACGATTAAACGACTATCTTATGAGTAATGCGATAATAAGCGCCTTAAATTCTTTGGATGACCTACAATTACGATCTTTCTTAACATATTTTTTGTTCAACTTTGCACAATACAAGATTAATATTATTATTATTTATTAATATTTATTATTTATTACCGCAATGAACAAAAAATTTACTAAAATTACAAATTATAAACAACATAAAATGAAATAAAAATAACAAGCTAATTCTAATTTCAGAAAACTTAAGAAACTTAACATCCTTTATATATCCATTATAAGGAAAAAATGCAAAAGCAACCATTTAAAAGAAGCAAATGATAAGATTATATTAAGAAAATTATAACATGTTATATTGTTTAAATGGTGCTAACGAATAATTGTGTGATAGTGAAGAAATCCAATTTGTTCAAAAAATTAGTTCAGTAATTCAAAAAAGAAAAACGCCTTTTCTATGGCTCATAATTGGTCTGAGATAATTTTCGCACATATATCCAGGAGCAATACCACTAATGGCTTCGAGTTCGAGCTTGACCCCACTTTCATGTATTCTTTTCAGCTCAAAACGACAATTTATTATACTATGATAATTAATGTTTAGCAAAGACGCACATTACTAGCGCTTGAAAAACGATATAAACAGAAAGTATAGGAAAATTATATAATAAAACTAAATCTAATCCCAGTAACCACATCTTGATAGGAAAATTACGATATAACTATTCTAGCCTGCAACTTATTAGGCCTAGATTTAGGCAAATTTATCCAATGAGTTTCTCAACTTGCGTAAAAGGGTATACACGCAGCCATATAATATGAAGTCCATTTTCTTCATAGAAACTGATATGTATTAAACAATATTTTCAATCTCGCTTCTTCCTAATGAACTGTGCCAAGAGTGAAGAAAATCAATTCCGAATAGAGGCCATTTATAGATGGAATAAAAAACGGCTCCTGCAACTTTCAGGTATGGTATTAGACTTGGAAATGCCTCACCTTTATAGCCCGCATAATCACCCTAACCAGTGATGATGCAAACCTATTAGAAGAAAAAGGAGAAAATAAAAATGGCCAAATTAAAGCCAAATTCTTGAAAACAACACATGAGTACCATAGAAATTAGAGGTCAAATCTAATAAAATTAAGATTAAATAAATAAAAAAGAATTAAGAAATAAATAACAACAAATTAAAAATTGAAAAATAAAAAATAAAAAATTAACAACAAATAGATGAATAAAAATAAAACCTCATCCAACAGAAGCATATCTTTCAGTTTTTCTGCTCTCTTCATTAGTTCCGAGACTTTTTTTATCTCAATTTTTTGCAACGGAATAAACTGCTCTTTTGACATAGAATAGCTGTAAATTTTTTGGATTTTTCATTCAACCGCTCATCAAAAATTTTTTAAAAAATTGATATTAGAAAAATAAAATTAACTAAAAAGCTACAGTTATTCTATCCAACTAAAAAATTAGTAGAATTTAGTATTATTTATTAAATTCATAAATATAGATAAAATAAGATAAAATAACAAATAAAAGAATTTCACAGCAACAAGATTAATAAAAATAATGTTTATGATTAAAGGATAATGAAATTTCTAACCGATGTATATCAGCTTGTGACAAGCCAATCCACTGAAAAGTTGGTAAAGATAAATCACCCAATTCAGCTGATATTTTCCTTGCTCCATATTTATATGTCATCGCTATTTCAATACCTTTAGATTAATCCAAACAATTCTTTTCAATTTATCGATAAAACACTTTTCTTTCTTTTCTACGAGTGCTCATTTCTGGTTATTGAAAGAAATTAGGAATCAGCCTACTAGATGTTTTCGTTTCTCTTCTACTGAATAGATTAATGGCAGTACGAAACAGCAGGATGCCTCTTTAACCAAGATCAATCACCCAACTCAACTGGATTTAGACCGCGTTTGATTCAAATGATAGAGCGATGGAGAGAGAGGGTGTTCTAGAGAAGACCCAGCCAAATTATAAAGGCAAGCATTTTATTAGCGTACATTAACAAGGAACATATGCGTATTTGGAGAAAACTGATCCTTTCGAAATAAAAGGTGATGTCCGTCAAGGCTGCGTATTTTCCCCTACAGTATTTACTATGCGGTAGATCGGATAATGGAAATCGATCGCTTGCCGGCATTGACAGATAACGAGATGCAAATAATGCTAAACAATGAGTTGACAACGAGAATCGGATTATTCATGATCATTGTGAATAAAACGAAACCTTTTTCGTTTTATATATGAGAAGCTGATAAATACCTATTTTTATCAATTTATTGCAGATTGAGGAAGTGCCAGACTTTAAATTCTTGGACCCACTCTAATCCCAAACAGGCAGGGCGAAATTGCGGTAATTAGAAATGAGTTCTTCCAAATGACGAAACCTTTATGAAGATATCTCAAAATCACTATAAAACGAAAGTCTGCGTCTATAAAACTGCATTTAACTCGATCTTGTCATAAAGCTGCGAGCCAATAAGAATGGAGGATATTATGAATTATTATCTTATTATCATCATATTATCTTTAATCATCATTTGACCACTTATATTTACATATTTCACGAGTTAGCCGAGCGGATGAAATCACGCAATTGCATCCACCTTCAATCAGATACCACCTGCATTAACAATCCATCAAAAAGCGTCATTTTCTGGTAAGAGCTTGTTCTTTACCGCCAACCAAAAGCGTTGTTAAATATTTCGTTACTTGCTAAATTCTGTGATTCGAAAACGAGGAAGGCCGATCAAAACCTCAAAACCTACGCTAAAAAAATTAGGAAAGATTTTGAACAGGTGGAATAGCGATATATGGACTCAGACAATGGAAAAAGGAATGGTTTCTATTACTGTCATCGATGATATCGGATCGAACAGCTTGGAAACATCCAACCCTTATAGCACCTGGAGCCAGCCTAATTATATCTTATATCTAAAGAGATAGATTTCTTCTCTTAGGAATAGAACCCCGGCATTTGTGCTCCGAAATGATAGCAATAATCCATTGAGCCACTCTACCCTCTAATATTACATTCACATTTATATTCACATTTAATTAATAATAATTATATTCCAAGAAAAACTGAGACAAACCAACCATGTGGATCATTATCCATAAGGCCGTACATAGGCAAATGCAAATCTTCAACCAAACGTCTGAGAAATAATCGAGTTAGGACATCAGGATATCCCTTACCCTAAATCTAAAGGTATGTGTACGATTGCAATATATTATTTTTTCTTTTCACAATAATGCTACAAGCAAAAAGAATAAATAGCTTACCGTAACTAAAATCGCATTAGAAAAAGTAGAAAAAAATCCTTCTTGAATAAGTTTTTGGAAAGTCGCATCTTTTTCGACAATAAGAATAAAACCGGCAGAGGAATGAAACCGAATGTTTCGTGAAAAATGCGTTAAAATAAATGGAGTGATAGAACAATCGACAACGCGATCTGCATATTCGATTTTTAATGAGCCAACAACTAAACCGCGACCAGAAGATAACTATAATAAGTGAGACTGAAAGTGACAGAAAAATGAAAATACTCCAAAGGTGAGTAAGCCAAATTATATGCCAATGTGCTACAAAAGCTCAACGAGAGGAGGCGAAATCAGAGATTGTCCCTGAAATCTCCACTCCAAAAATTATTTAATACTATTTAAAGGACTTATATAAACAATATGATACAATTACGATTTGTGCACAGTCAGGGATGATTTATCTTCAATATATTGCTTAAGCATAATTTAATATTACATTTCGTAACATCGGTTTAATTGAGACCGCGAATAAAATTTCGAACGAACTGTGATAACGCTACAAGAATACACTGAAGAAAGAATACGGCCAGAATTAAATTTTTTCGATATAAAAATATTATTGGCGGCTGTTAGCCAAAAAATATTTAAAACCTTTGAAATACTTTTTAAACGATTTAAACGATAAATTTAAATAATGCTTTATATGAAATCTTTTAAGGAAATGCATTTCACTGATGATTATTTTAAAAATAGTATAATAACGAACCACATTATTTTTAAAGCGATTCACGCCGATCAGTTCGCAAATACTGGTTATGCTTTTATCGAGATTTCGTTGAATACCGTAAAGAGCTTTTTGTTCATAAAATAAATCTCTAAAATTAATAAAAATTTCTGAACAAATTACTTTTTGAAAAAGAAGTGCAGTAAGACAAAATCATTAACTGTTCTAATTAAAAGAGATTCCAACTGATAATAGTTGATAATAATTGCAAAAAATTTAAAAAACAAAAAAATAAGAATAATCACAACATAGCGAAACATAGAATATTATTTTCATAAAATTTAACTATAACCAAATAAAGAAATAAGCAATAAAACACGAAAATAAATCAAAAATTTTTAGTTTGATCTACTATGAAATAATCCAACAAAAATTGACATCAAGATATGTGCAATAAAATGGATTGATAGAAATATTTAATCTAAGAGGAAAATAAATATAATAACCGCTTTGTAGCAAAAGCGTTGGAAATATGAAGGTGGTAGATTTGCGCTAAAGCTCTCATAGTAAACGCAAATCTAAAAGGAGATTTGTGGGACAAATATATTTTTTTCTCCACCAATTCACCATTTCTGAAAGTAAAAATATATATACATATAAATATGTATAAATATATATATATACAAAAATATTTTTTAAATACATATATATATATTTGAAATTCATCTTCTACTTCGCAATATTTAATCGAATATTAAATCATAAATCATAAAAAATGAATTAAATATATATATATATATATACTTAACAAATTTAAGGATCCACAATTAATCCTGAAAAACCCCTAAAAGTGGAACACATAGCATAAAGTGACCATTGAGCGACCATAAAATACCAAATATTTTCAAATTAAGCAGATAAAAAGGCAGGAAAAAAGAATGGATTTTCCGCAAAAATAACTATATAAAATATGGCAAAAAATAAGAACCAAGACAGGATTAAACATTTTATTTTTATAAACTAGACAAAGATTGGTGGTCATCAGAGAGGACCGATGTTGGGTTCCAATTGGGCCTACGCACTACGCTTCATTCCGCAGCGGTGTCGCCTAACGGAAAAAACAAAATGGCTCAGTGCGTTGTTGCTCAATTCCGAACGCCGATGTTGAGGTTTTAATCCTGGCAGGAGTAAATCGAAAAATCCAAGTTATCCAAGTTAACAAGTGAAGTTCTAAGGGAAGTTAAGCTAAGGGATTCCCTGGTATATTTGCTCCAACAAGTCAACGGATCGAGTCTAATCAGCAGTGGTGAGCGCCTTCTAAAAAAGAAAGCTACACAATCCATTATTATTATTGAACATATTTTAATTGTAATTTTATTTTGGACAATTTTTTCATTCTTACATAATTCCTTAATCTGAAAATTATCTAAGTAAATTTTTTTATAATGTAACAATATAATAATCATGGAATATGCATACAATCCGCAAAGATTTTTCAATATTCTTCTGAACATTTGCAAAAATTTTTAAGAATATTTTAACCTCTACTCTTATTATATCCTCCAAAATAAGCTTGAAAAGAGATGTAAATTATTTTTCACAGTAACCTCCCACTGTTCTCAGAATTCACCATATAAGCGCCATTATTTTCACGACGTCCTCAAAATAAGTTATGTTAGTTAGCCTCTACTATATTTTTGCCTATGAGTTGTGTATATTTATTTTCCCTGCCATCATATCATATTATTTCTGCCATTTTAACAATTGTTCTTTTAAATGTGTCGACAAAAAATTCTCGACCGTTGGACTGAAGATGGTAAGATGAGCAGGTAACATAGTTGATACCATTTTTTCTCAGAATCTTCGGAATACAAGTGATTTAAATCTCTGTTCCGCTGTAAACAATGGTTTCAAGAATTTCATATCGTGTTAAAGCCTGTGATAGAAAAGAAATTTCTGAATTTGATCGATTTGGTATATTTCTGGCTAGTGCATCAATAATGACGAACATTATCCTTTTATTGGTCCGACATAATCATATGAATTCTAGAGCATGGCTGCTAAGGACTTAGCCATTTTGTTGGTTGAATTTTGATAGGAGACTTACTAATTGGCATTTTGTGCAAGAATCCTTCATCCTTATGGTCCTTACCAAGTGACTGCCAGGTGATACCACGATAATATATCTTATTTGAGCCTCTGCATCTGGTAGAAATTTTGTAAAATCGTAATTTCTCGAAATTTCTAATATCTGGAAATTTTAGAAATTTGTTCAATTTATAGAGCAAATGCCATATGTTATTTTTTCGATGAAACGGAAATACCAAATTCGCTGTCAATTTTAAGTGATTACCCAGCATTTCTTAATGACCCAATGTCTTTCCAAGATTTTCTGGGTAGTAGTATAATATTATTATTCAAAACAATGTCGAGCTAACCAGTTTTCCATTTAGTTAAATTTCGGTAAATCTAGCAAAAATATGACTGTTTCTAGATCTAACTACATTATTAATATTCTATGATTTGATTTTACTGATCACCACTGGCTTATGTCGAGTTCTGAAACTGAATTTGGCACGAGTTTTTCGAAAAGACAAAAATCTTTATGTCCTTTCATTTCGTACAAATCGTTTACGCGATATGCAATATTGAAGTACATTTCAGAAAATTTCAACACCACACAACCAACATGGAGTTTTCGGGATGTCTCGTCCACTGTTGTTGTGATTTGGTGCTTGGTTTTTTTCTCGATAATTATTTCCACTGTTGATATTGTCCAAATTATTGTTTTTATTTATTGCAGGAATGATTTTAATTCTGTTCAATTAATCAAACTGTCGTCACAAATTAAGCTGAGATTTCAGTTATATTCTTATTAAATCAACTAATGTAACATTTGGTTCATTTTCGAACTCTTAGAGCAATTTCATGCGAACATTGGCACCATCTAGAGATTGGATTCTACAAAAAAAAATTAAATACTTGAATTGATTTTTAAGTCGAAACTGTTTATTAAACTGAAACTATTTATTGACAGCAGCTCCAAAAACAACGAAATCTTCATGGATTTTCTTCAGCAGATTTAAAATAAGTACAAAGCGCCTTTTATAGCATAAAATAACGTACTTATTTTTATTATTTCATCAAATCCGAAATCGCAACGTGGTCGAGACGAAGCATAATCTGTATGTTTTTCATACATTGTCATTCATACCTCTTCTATTTTATGCTATTTTATGCTTTGTATTTATTCGCTTTATGATAATAGTATTCTGAAATCTTGAATCTTGACGACTGAACGAAAAACCAAAAATAACATTATCGAGTTAATGGAAAATTGAAACGATTTGCTTCAATCGAAAACATGAGGTCATGCCATCGCTTTTTCAACCTTGACAGAAGCTCTGTCCGTGTGCATTTCGACACAGCTTAGATCCGAAAGAAAAGATTTTGAGGAAAAACTTATTTACTTGGGTATTCCGGAGAAATTTAAGATAAATAATAAAAGAAAAGCAATATCGACCAAATGTTAGTTTCTTAACTTTAGTGGTAAAAATCCATCGGAATCTCACTTACTCATAAAAAATCGAATGGAGAGCGATACGTTTCGATTTATAACTCAAGTTAAATATATTTTCCACGAAACTCAAACATGCATTTTCAATACGCATAACTATATTAGCCGTTTCAATTTCGTTCTTCATTTTCTGTTACCATTAAAAACCTAAAATTTTATGATTTCAAAGAGATAGTGGATGAAGGCGCACAAGCCGAATTAAACGAGCAGTCTTTCCATAGCTGCACTATTAACCAACATAGTGGCAGGGAATTTAAGACTGAATTTTAGGACTGAATTAGAGCACGAAAAAGGGTGCACAGAACAAAAAAGTGGGAGAACCATAATGTTTATTAGAAATCCGATACGATTTTGATCAAATGAGCAAAAAACCACAAAAAAAGAAGTTTGCAACACTGAACAGACAGGCATTATATTAAACAACCTATATCCATTTATTCATTACATTCTATTTCCATTTGATTTAACCCATTTAATCTATACTCATTAACAGAAAAACTCGAAAAACCAGATAAGCCAAAGAAATTTAAACCACAGTAAATTACAGTGGGTCATCTACATTTTCAAAAATTGAAGCTGAAATAATGGAAAAAGCAACTTTAAACGTTGAATTTTCTCAAGCTTCCTTTTATTTTCTTAATAAATAATATAATCGCTGGAAAAGACAAGCAATATTAGAATTTTCACAATTTAATCCAGTTTTTATTGAGATGAAATTCTGATTATTTATATATAACTTATGATAAATATAAGAAACTGCAAAAATATCCAACACTTAAAATATTTATTTTCAGAAGACATCTAAATTAATGAAAAATGATACAAAAAATGAAGAATGTTCTATACCAATTTAGTAAAAAAGAACATATTAAAAAATATAAACTATTAAAACATTTATTTCAAAATAATTCAAATTTTCTCTAAAATTTTTCATTAGAAAATACTAAAGAGAAAAAATCGTCAACAATAGAGCATAAACTCTATTAGAATTTTTTTTTAAAAAGTTCATTTTCTGGTTAGACTTGTTGCCAAACCATACAAATTTTGCCAGGGAGTCATTTGACCATTGAAATATTTGACCATTGAAATACAAGTGAATCACCCGTGACATCTGTATGAGAATATTTGATTTAGCTCAAAAAAATATTTTGATTTAGACTTTAAACCTAAGATTTTGACAGTGGACACCAATTATTTAGAATAATAAATTGTGCATACGAATGTTTCTTCGGATAGCATTGGAAAAACCAGGATTATAATGATAAATAATAAGTCGAGTATTCAATGAATCACAATGAGCACCACGCTTCAGCAACATTTTCAATTCCTTCTGGTCAATTTTTTCCAGATTCTTCCGGTTGTATTTATCGTTGTTCGAATTAGCCAGAGACGATTTATTTCGTATTTTATCTAATTCAATCTAGAAAAAAAGAAAGAAAGCATTTTAGGACAGAAAATAAAAAAGTAACGGAAAGAATAATGACATATCGGAAAATAAAATAACTGGCCTCATGAAGGATCATTTGTCGAGCAGTATTAGAAAGAATAAATGATGTTTTCTCATTACTCAAATTATCAAGAGGAAAATAAGCAAGCGACTCGACTGGACTGAAATTGATCAAAATCATAACAAATATAAGCCAAAATACAATACAAAAATATGATAAAAAAGTTACGGATCAAATCTGTAATAAGACGCTCCATCAGAAAATAAAAGTTTAAAAGTAAGTGAATATGAACGCATCATAGTGATCACAGAATGTAAAAGGGTTAGTTCACGAGCACTATAGAGTTGCGCATTCATCTGGAACAAAGATTTAAAAATTTATTTTATTAGCTTGAATCAGCAAAAAAGAATTCATATATTAATATAATTCATATATTACAATAAGGATAAGGGAGGCAAAAATGAATATATATAATATTATGTTGTAAAATACTTCGACTCATACATAAATATAATAATGTGCACATTTCTCTGTGATGTT